ACACACACAAAACAAAAACAAAACAAAACAAAACAAAACAAACAAAACAAAAAAAGATTACATGTTGTTCCTGTTGAAATGTTTTGTGCAGCATTCCCATTGTCGTCGACGTTTATTTATAAAAATTTTCTGTTTCTTGTCTGTTTGTGCGCTAATAACACACAAACACATACAGACACACACACACACACATGCTCGTATTGGAGAAAAAGGGAGAAACTGAGAAGCTAAAATGTAACAATCCTTTGGGTACATCCCATGTGCAGAAGGAGTTTATTTGGAGGAGCCCAGGAGCTGGGACTTATGTAAGAGCCTGGCTAGGACAAAGGAAATGCAAAATACCATGACAGCAAAAAATGCCAAAAATCGCACAACTCAAAACAAAACCCAAATACACAAAACGATTCTGGCACCCATGAGGAGCAGCATCAGCACAAGCACCAGCACCAGCACCAACACCAGCAACAGTTGTACGCCAGTTGCCTGGGCGGGTGGTGCCTCGCCTTCTTCCTTCCTGCCTCGCCAGCCCATGTCGTTCCATTCTATTCGCGAGTGCTGCGCGTTGATCGTGGCACATTTGCATACAATGAGGCCAAGACTGTGGCAGCACACACAGTCTCAGCATGTTATCTCTGACTGTGACCTACACCAATATTTCTGAGAATGCTGCCACAGCCACACACTGAACCTGGACCCGCCCCCCGCCCGCTGCCACAGCCCCGGCTCAATGGCCAATGCACAGTATGACATTCTGCTGATCCTGGCATGCAAAAAATATTGGATTTCCTTGATTTTATTTTGGATTTGAGCTGAATTTTATCGACGCTTGTCTGTAGATTCCAGTTCGGAAACAAAACAAAGACAATATATATTCATTTGCAACAAATGGATTGCAATTAAAGTTTCCTTTTTGTTATTGAATATTTGTGTTTCCTTCAGTTCTTAAATTTGTTGCCTTCAGCATATTTATTAAAATCAATGTATTATTCAATATAGCCAATCATCATAATAGTTCAGTCAAATGTGGATGGAACTAGAAAGTAAGTTTAGACTAGTAGTCGATTTGAGAGGCTTGAGCGAGGTCACAATTGATAATGAATTCTAGAGAATCTCCATCCCTAAGGACGAAATTTTCAAAAATCATGGATGATATCTTTACTTTACAAATATAGATTTAGCCAAAAGGCTTTTATAACCATCAACCAACCAACCAATTGATCCGCAAAACAGCTTCTTCAACAATATGGACTCAACTCTAATATGTCATTTAAACTTAAGAATGCACATGCATGAACCAAGGATCGATTTCTTCTTGACGCTAATTAACAAAAACTGTATTTAGATTATATTTAAAGTTACTCGCTCAATTTTTGTGTGTCCTTTTAAATTCTTTGATGCCTGAATAGTCCTTTAATTGCTTTTGAAATATTTTGTACAACAAAAGTATTCAAATAATACTATAGAAGCTAAAGAGTACGTTCAAATTTAAAGTATTGCGGTTAAAATTGTATTCTTTTCTAAAACAAAGACCCCAATTATTAGACTAACATTGTCAAAATGTGATAAAATTATGAAGATTAGGGGTCAACAAAAATAAATTGGTTATGTAAGCAAACTAATTTAGGAATTAACAAGACAGATCGTCATAGGTCCGCAAGCCCTATAAGGAAGCATATGCAAAAAAAATCAGATTTGTATAAAATAGTGATATACTATACTATACTTGTAGAACAGATGAAGTGTGCAAAATTGGTAACATTGCTTTACAATTATGTAATATTTATTTTCGAAATTGTTGAATTAATTTGGGCTTGGAGATTCGTCAAATTATGATGATAAAAATTTCATTAGTGTCTGCTGAAAATGCTGATAAGCTGATTAAAAATTAAGTTATAATCAGCCATTATAAAAAAACAAATAAATAACAATTATAAAGGACCACAATTTTGAATGTAAACTAAATGCACTGTTGAGAAAATTATTAAATTAATTCAATAAAATATTTGTTTTGATTAGTGTTAATACGTTAGTAAGTTATAAAAACTTTAGTGGATTTTACTTACTTTGTAAATGGAGTTTACGAAAAAGTAGCGTGAAAGGAACTTAACTTAGTCTCTAATCAGTGTTTCCCTTTTCTCTGTTACTGTAACTTTAACTGGAAATGTAAAATTTTATATTTAATCTTTAATATGAATTGATGATAAGGTTGTCCCGATATAAGACAAAACGGCGCTAATAGGAAACGTGGCTGCCGTGCTATGGAACACAAAGCATCTTACACTAATTTGATAATATGAGGTAAAAAGCCCTTTCTACTGAACCGATATAACAACAGTACAACAGTACAGAAAGTAATGCTTTAGCCCTTTCAGACCCCACGCCAAACCACTGAATATTTGTTTATGTTTTTTGAAATATATGGTCTTTATATTTTATGAAAATATTCTCATATATTCGATTAAAATTTTAGCTGAAACATTTTTTTTTTTGCCACAAATGACTGGTCTAAAAATTCTTCCTTCCCTGTCGATGGAGCCATTCGATTGAGAGCTCACTTTAGGATAAACAAGGAGTCCAAGCTCTTCACCTTTCTGTGTGTGTTGCAAAAAAGTATTTTCAATCACACAAATAACCGATAAGGCTCTGTTTCGCTTAATAGTGATAAACATTCAAATTATAAGAGAAACTCTAAGATTAAATTAAATTAAAATATCTGCGCACATATACACATTAAATGGGCGTTGATAATCAAAATATTCCAAAGACTTCGGCTTTCTTAAATAGTTGAGAATATGGCATTACTTGAGGTGTTGTTTATTGTACCATTTTTCTGCTTTATCGGTAGTACATCATATACCTAGCAGATCGGGTGTTCGTACTACAAACTCCATTAAAAGTGCCTCCAAATATAAGCATAAAATATACAATACAAGATATTATTGCAATTGAGAACAAAATTACGCAAGAAAAATAGAATTTATAATTCAAAGAATATCGCAAATCTTATGGCAAATACAATGAAAACGGAGAGTCATACTATGTTAGAATTTTATTTTATTGCAATATTATAACAAAATGAATATTTGGACCGTTCTTTTGTTTGAAGCTTTTATTCGCTTGGATTGTCGATATTTCACACTGTGCCTCGGCTGCGGCTTCACAACTTGGAGCCGTCGTCGCCTGTAAGTGTGTCGTCGTCCAGTCCCAGTCTTGGCCAGTCAGTATCTCAGACGACAACGACGATGGAGACGACGAGTCATTCAATCGCGCCAGCTGCTGCCGACGACGTCGTCTCCCCCTTCCCTCTACTCCCCGGCTTCTCCTCCCATATCGGCCATGCAGTTACGTTTCGTTTCGTTTTGTTTGTTTGCCTTTTTGTTTTGTTTGGCCATTCTACTTACAATATTTGTTGGATATCACCAAAAGATCTCGGCTGCAGTAATGCAACCGAAAAAAGGAGCCATAGCCCCCAAATGCTTGTGTGTTAAAGTGAAGAGGCTGTGTGTGAAACTCGACTGTCTGGCGACTGCCTTGCGTCAGCATCGGCATCAGCATCAGCAGCAGCAGCAGCAGCAGCGGCATCGTCGTCACCATGAAATGGTAGCTTGGAATTGTCTATGACGGGGCAGGTCTATGGGTTTTAGTTGGCGCTTTGGGATTTGCTGCCAATCTGGCCAGCCCCCCACTCCATGGCAGACTGTGGCGGTTGTGGGGTGTGGCGTTAGACTTGAGCGAAAGCATTTGAAAGTATTGGCAGCGGGTCAACTAAATAGTTCAAGATTAAGAGTCAACAAATTAGTTTAAAAGGCTTTTCTTCAGATAAGACTTAACGGCAATAAATCATTTGGAAATTAAACGAATTGTTATACGAGTATTTCTTAAGCCAATCGCATTGCTTAGATAGATTTGAAAAACTATTTTTCATAATTTTGTAATATCACAATACATTGATTTGAAATTTTATTGATTGTATAATATTACACAATCCATATTGCACTACATGACTAGTTCAGGGATAGAATATCCAATTCGATTCGCAATCAAATCCCGCACTAGCTCAGGTAGATCTCTAGGTCTTTAATTCGGTGATTTGCCTTGCTTAGTCTTTACATAGTTGCTAAATAGCTATTTTGAATTAATATTACTATTAGTATTTATTCAATTTGGCAATGGCTTCAAGAATAATTTGAAATTCTGCCATATTCATATTTAAGGTTACAAATTTGTTTTTTCATTGGCGAGGCACCATCACGTTCTTTTAGCAAATCAATTGTGTTTATACAAATATTTATATTTTTCTTAAACTTTTTTTCCTAAGGGGAAAATCATTTAATTTTTTAATATTTATGTGAAGGGTTTATTGATACGAAGAAGGGAGGATAGACAGCTAGCTTAATATCTTCTATTCAGAACATCTAAACGGTGATAAAACGAATTCGATCCTAATTTATTGAGATTGTTTTTAGGAATGAAGATGTCCCCTTCGATTGCTTTTTGGATATTTTCATCAATACTACCAATATTCTACTCAATGAAGCTTTAAATTGAATCAAATTCACATGAACGCTTTAGTTGTAGAGTTTTTTTCTTTCGATTCCAGCTTACCTGTATTTTTTTTACCAACCACCCGAAATCGGAATTGAATTATAAGACACATTGTTTTCTTAAAGATTCAACTGAAAAGCTACTTTAGTTTTTGTTTATTAAATAACCAAAGGCAAAGCATAATAGTAATAAATATTTATAAATAACCATTTTATGTTTATAAATAAAATAATTAGCCTAATTCGTCTAGCGCTCTACAAAACACAAATTACAGTATTCATAAAAAACGCCATAAAAACCGCTACAACTAATAGCTCTCATGCTTTTTTTATTGCAAAAACTAACCTTAAGTTTTTATGTGTATGTTTAAACCGAAATTGCACACAAAACACACACATACACACACCCACACACGGGATTATATTTGTGTGTGTAAGCTTTGAAGGAATGCGTTGTTTAAACACTAAATTAGTTGATAAGCTGGGTGGAAAGGTGTTGCTATAAAAAATGTATTTATAGCACCTGCCATAATTGTCAGAGACGTTGTGGTTACGCGTGCGCCGTCATTTGTTATTGTTGTAATTGTCATTGTTGCTACTGTTGTTGCTATTGTTGTTATTGTTTAGTGTAAGATAAAAATAATTTAAACGCTAAAATGACAAGTGGCAATTAATTTAAGTGTGATTATCACCTGCCCGTTGCACATGGGCAGCAAAAAGCTCGGTCCGCGTGCCCAGCCAGCCCAGCCAGCCTAGCCGAGTGTTTATGGGGATTTCCGAGCTTTACATAATGCGCAAGTCACTAATTTTTCGGATCTGAAATGAGAACGAGCGAGAAAGAGAGCCAACGAGAAGGCGTGTGTGAGCATTGTCGTGAACTGGGTCTGGCTATGGGTATGGGATATGTGTATGGCATAGGCATGTGGCGGTTCGAAAAGGCGAGTCCAAGAATAGCTTTCAGACTCGCCTCTTATCAGCAGATCCACATTTTTTAATATACATACATACATACATACATACATACGTACAAGTATACATACATGTATGTATGTGTGTATATTTTTGGTTTGTTTTTGGCTTTAATTACTTAGCACTTGGCTGCCAATTGGCCATACCGCAAAAGTGACAATCAAATTGTACTAACCTCTATCCTCAACCGGTTCGATAGCAGCTCCAACATTGGCTCGGCCCGTGGTCACTGCATCGGCGGCGGCATGCTCCGCACGCGTAGAGCTCAGCGACAAGCTGGTGACTGGGGAATGGGAGGCGCTGTGATGCAGAAGCAGGCCATTGCCCAGCGACATGCGCTGTTGTTGTAGTTGCTGCTGCTGCTGCTGCTGTTGTTGTTGCTGCTGCTGATGATGATGGTGTTGGGCGGCTGCCAGGTGCTGGGACAAATGCTGATGATGATTACCCGCTGTGCTCGTGGGCCACTGCTGATGGGCGACACTCATCACCACGGGCAATCCCTCAGGTGGGACGCAGGTGAGACAGGCATCGACCACTGGCACTAGGGGATCGGACATCCATTCGAAACTAAATGCAGGACCAATTGTTTGCGCGCCAGAATTGTGGTTGCCACTCAGATTGGCGCCGCCATTGCCACTGTGGTTATGGGGCGGTGCACTGGTGGGCGTGGGAGGCGTGGTGGTGATGCAGGGACTTAGCTCATGTGAGGAGGAGAAACTGTCGAGGGAAGCCTTTTGCGCGGACTCTGACCAGGGCGGACTGGGGTTCCATTGCTCGATAAAATCGGCAGGATCAGGGGGCAGCGTTTTATTGAGCAAACGTGGACGAGTGGGCACAATGGTTGCATAGATGACCGAGGCATGGGCATCGCTGCTGGCTGCTACGCTGCTTGAGTAGGCGGCGGCTGAGGACTGCAGCGCGTAATGTTGTTGTTGCGTGCAGTCCGGCTCCGGGGTTGTGGCTGAACGTTCCACGGCCTACAAATAAATCAGACGATATGGCAAATATATCTTAGATTCCAGCACTTTCAACCTTTCCCACTTCTTTGGGCATCGAAGCTTAAAAATAACTTATTATTGATATTTTCGCTATAAGTATAAATAAAGTATATTGTTATTACATTGAATCGGCTTTTCAATAAGAGTTCAATAACAAAAGTGCCTTTGGAAAGTAAAGTTTAGTTTATTATTAGCTCAGAACTTTGAATAGTAATTTGGAAAATTTGTAGAAAGTGTAAACAGTGAATTAATACAAATAGATTTATTCATTACAATGGAGTATTTTAAGCAATTAGTATTTGTATAAAATGTTAATATTCCCATCGGTCTATACATGTGGGCTACACTGTAAAAATTTTAACAATCCCACCTGCAAGTAAAGCGGCTCCAGTTTGTTTCGCGCCCGTTTCTTGGGCGGCGGTGGCGATGCTGACGATGTGGAGGAGGATAAGCGCGGAGTGCTCGACTTTTGACTGGGACTGCCATTCACTTGACTATAGTCGACAGGCTCTAAGCCAGCCTGAGGATAATTGTATTGCTGCTCATTCTCCTTGAGCTCGCCAGCTGCGCTCTCCCCGTGATAGACCCCGCCGCCATAGGCAGCTCCCATATGCGTGTGATGGTGATAGGCCGCTGCCGCCGCCGCATGATGGTGATGGTTGTGTAGGTTTAGATTTAGGTTGCCGTGATTGTAGCTGTGTGGTTGCTGCGTAGGCGCCATGTGGTGCGCGGTGGCCTGATGCGCCGTGTAGTAAACATTTGGGGCACCACCGGGTGGCACGCGCATCGCGCTATCCAGTGGCATGCCAAACTGTATCTTCGATTGTACCGTGTAGTAATGGTACAGCCAGGAATTGGCCACCATGATGGACGCCTCGCGTTCGCTATGTCGTTCAGGGTGGTCGATTTGTTATAGAACAATTGTTGGCTGGGGAATAATTTAAACTTACTTCAGCACCTGATTGGTGCACACAATGACGGGCTGTTGGGTTGAGTCGGGACTGTCGCGCACCTGTAGGACCACATGTACCCAAGTATAGTCGCCACTGCCGCGCTGCATGCGTACCAGCAGAATGCAACTCCGATCTTGTTCCGATTGCGTAACTGTAAAGGCAAGATTTTGAGTAAACCAATCCTAACATTTGAAGTGACGAAGTGGGTCGAAAAAGAAAACCCTAAAATATCACAAAAATGAACCATTTAGTTTTAAGACTTTTCGATTCGAAGGCGATTTTAAAAACCAATTTTCTGAAAGTCTAAAATCAGAAACGAACAAGTATTTCTGTCTATTTTCTAGTACCATCTATGTTCCATGAACTATATGTATGTTGGAAAATCTAAATAATAGACCGTTTTAATTTAATTCGAGCATAAATCTTAATAATAGAACGTTTTAATTTAATTCGAGCATATTCCATATTTTGTACCTTTTTTCACCTGGTAATAGTATTGAATATATAAACGAGGGTTTGGATTTTAAGACAAGTTTCCACGCTGCAGTCTTTCAACTAAAATAAGCTATGCTGTAACGAATCATCTCTATGGCAGATATATGATAAAGCTTCAGATTAAAAAACCTCTCACAAGTTACAAATTTGTTGAAGATATTTTTCTCTGAAAATTTCTGTCCTGATCGTTCCTCATAAAGCTGTATAGTATTCAGCGATGATTTTAATGAAAGTCTGCATCAATGTTCTATAAAAATTACATTTTGGGACTAGGATCATTGTTATGGATAATAAAACCATATGTTTAAATAAAAATTTGTGTAAATAAGGGTCTACATTAAAGCTGCAAGACAGTATAGTATATGTACATATGTGCTAGATGATAATTATTCAGACTGATTTTAAAATTGAGATACTTGTAAGATTAAGAAATGGAATAGATGGGAGATTTTTTTAAAGTTTTGATTGAAAATTCAGGGAAACTTACTTAGCCTGTGCTTGCTCTGCGCCTCCCTCAAATTCTCGCTGTGAATTAAATTGTACCAGGAAGTTCCCTGTAACGTTGTCTTGTCATAGCCCAAATGAAATTCGCCGCTGCAACGGAATCCTCACCTCAGTTAAGGTCCATTTAAGGATCCAGTATAATACTTACTTCTTATCTATGTGTGCTATTTTCATATCCATTGAGTGTATGGTGGTGAAAACATTTGTCGCACCCTGCACCACGCACTCGCGGGTCTCGGGCATGGCTATGGGTGTGCAGGTAGCCAAGAAGACAGGCTCATTGCGACTGCAAAGCGGCAGAAATGACAAATAGTGCCCCTGTACCAGAACGACCTGCAAGACAAGGGATAGAGTGAGAGTGTGTGAGGGAGTGAGAGAATGAGACAGGAGTTGAGATTTGTGCCACATTCTGGCTTAGGACCGCCAGCTCCCACGAAAATTGGCGCACGTTGTTGTCGTCGTCGTCGTCTTTGCCATCGTCATCGCCATCGCCATCGCCTTCGTCGCCAACTCATTTTGGCTTGGCCATTTTTGGAGAGGCATGCCGGCTCATAGACATTTTACTCTGATTCCATAATTTAAAAAAGGCAATCACAGAAATGTTTGCCAGCGCATGCGCAAGCTGCGAGCTCCACACCAGGCGACTGCGCCATTGTCTCCCAATTAAAACGTGCCTGCATTTATTTCTCCATTGCAATTGCATTTGGGATTCTTCAGCATCTCCTCCAACGACTACGACTGGGACTGCTTCTACTTAAATGCAAATACGGCCAGACTCTACAGTCGTTGTTGCACTCGATGACGCAGACATCGTTGTTGTTGGGGTTTCTTGTTCTTTTTTCTTTTTTTTTTTTTTTGTAAATGAGACGACCTTAGACTGGGGAGCAGGCGCCACTGGCGCGCCGCTGCCGTCTGCTGTTTACTTGGCTTTTATTTTTCGGGGCTCTTGTCTATGCTGATACTAAGATGCTGGCTGACTGGGCCGACTGGGCCGACTGCCTGGGCTGTTGCTGAACTATGCTGACCTCATTCATAATTATTTATTGGTCCATTTTTATTGCATATTAACGAGTGGTGAATGTGCAACAATTGGCTTGGTTTAGCTTGGCTTGGCTTGGCTTGGCTTCGGTTATCGCAGCTGGCTCATGTACGGGCGACATGTGGAGAAGTTCCAGACTTTGGGTTGGGCTATGGAAATGCTTAAGTAAAGGTCTTATGACACCCAAGTGCAATATATTCATGCAAATTGCATGAAACTTTAATAACAAACACAGGTCGCTTAACTTACAGCAAGATTTCAAATTCTGGCAAAACATAAATAACTTGAAAGTTCAGCAACGAACTAGTTCTTTCCGTGGCTTCTAAGCTGAAATTCTAGACAGCTATTCTACATTTAAAAGATATAAATAGCCACTTTGTGCTAAGTTGGGAGATACTTTTGATTAAATTTAGTTGAAGCGAGCACAAATCAATGCTGGCTGCCATTGATAATCAAGTTTTCTGACTCGGCAGATTCTTCCAGCAAGCATCGGTGGTTCAGTGGTAGAATGCTCGCCTGCCACGCGGGCGGCCCGGGTTCGATTCCCGGCCGATGCAAAACACCTTTTTTTCCCCCTTCTTACATTACTCTATTATATTTTACTGTTACTATTTGTTTTTACATAGCACTATTGGCACGATTGTGCTATAATTACAGCAATGAAATCTGCCTTTATGGCAAAAAAAAAGAGCTAAGCTGTAAAGTGTTGCACGGAAAATTGCAAACTAAACAAAATTCAACTACAAAGCGGTTTCTGCAATTAAAAAAGTCGTTAAAAGTAATCGTTAAATGGCTACTGCAGGTCTTAAATGCTTGACCATTTGCATATTCGCCTAGTTATTTCTTGAAATTTTAAAGCAGAAGGAAATGTATCTTGATTAAATGTGTAAAATGAAACGATTTAATCATCACTACACAGCAACTGCCAAGTCTGCTAACAACCTGTTCGACTTAAAATTTTTACAACCCTTCAGCAATCAGAAATCAAAACTTTGGCAATATCGTTCACTTACTAATTCTATTTCATGCAACGCCCCAGAATATTGAATTCAATTTTAACTTTTTAAAACTGAGCAACCTTCTTTTACTTTCTTTTAGTACCTACTATTAAAGCTCTTCTAATATACATAGCACTAATAAATACATACATTCCAAAATTGTTATACTCAAATATGTTTACTTAACAATTTTGTTCTTGATTTTAACTTATTATAAATATGACTCATTATCCTGTACATACAGGGAGCTGAGCATAAAGCATTAATTTAGCAATTCAATAGTAATTACATGTAAGCTGTCATACATAAATAAATAAATAGGTAAATAATCTATGAGCTTTGGAGCAGATGATGAAGTTTTAATTTTAAAATTACGCTTTTACTATATCTTTCTACAATCGAACCGTGATTACTCGAATCTCTTTTAAGAGGGCAACATCTACTAATCGGGTTCATAGTGGTTGATTTTATACCCCTACAAGTATTAACAAATGGAGATAGTTATTTGGCGTGATTGATTTTATATCACTATTATGAATACGAAATGGCGAACATGGTTCACCCACATAGGTGCACGCAATAGAGGATAGTAATGTTATGTTAAAAAAAATGTCTTGCAAAACTACAATTGTTCATTTCACCCCCAGACAAATTACAAACTTATCGCATACATACCTTTAATAAATGTATTTAATGGAAAAGAATAAGATAGTTATAGTACATTTATGCATGTACAAGTATATATTTATATTCAGATTCAAATTTTCTTGCTAATTGAGGATCAACTGTATTTTGGGTTGATTTTATAAGAGATAAGAGATACATATGTTTAAGAGATAAGATACATATCTCTCTAAACATTTGCCAGTGCATTGCAAGAAGTAGTTGCAGCAAACAAAAGAAGAACCAGTTGCATTAAAGAAACCCCCTTAAAAACCAACAAATTGCAATTTAAACAAAAATTTCTAGCTAATTTTGCACAAATTATTACTTATGAGGGGACTAGTAACTTTTTAATTTTTCAATTAGTTTTTTAATTGAAAATGAATTATAAAGTCAGAAGTTTGCATTATTATTAGTGTAGTGGCACTTACACTTAATATCTTTTCATTGATACGTCAATAGAAATTTCATCGATATGTTAATAGAAATTTTTTCCATTAAATATTGGGATTTACATTCTATTATACTTATATTGTATTACATCAATTATTTATATTGCAGTTATATGCGGAAATTGCGATTTGAATTACTGTTGACATGCTGTTCATATACCTATATGCGTATAGTTTTTCTACCAATTTTTCTTTTGGGAGTTACAAACTTACAAACCAAATACAATTATTCGCAACTAGTTAGTGAAGTGTTCAAAAAAAAAAAAAAAAAAGATGTAAAATTTTCCCTTCCAGAAATATTCCAGAGAAACTACACAGATTTTTTTGCAATCTTAGGTTATAAATAGATAATATAGTATCGCAAAATAAATCGAAATCATTTAAACTTTACTGACTATAGACACAAACTAAATATACAATAATAATAATGTGTACAATATGGAAAGAGTCGCCGTGTTAGTTTCAGATTTTCAAAAAAGGAAGTCAATGTTCTTCATGACAATAATTTAATTTTGCTGAATAGTAAAAGTGTCAACGGAATTACAAGTTTACTTCCTTTTTAGTCAACTCCATCTCAACTCATTAAAAGTCCAACTTTGAACTTAATTAAAAACGTTTGCACCAACTGTCAGCGTCAAGCTTTATCTCCATAATTTTCAGCACACATCTGCAGCGAGCGTTGAAAATGGATGCAGAAAAAACGTAGCGACAACAACAGCAAAAAATATGCATAAGGCAAGCGACCGCCCACAACATTTTCACAATGCCTCAGACGGTAGCAACACCAACAGTGGCAGCTACAGCAACAGCAACAACAGCAACACTCACAGCCACAACAGCAACAACAATGCGAGTCACAGCCAACGCGTCTCTCAACACGTTGACAGATTTGGTCTTGTTTCGCGTACCTGCTGTGTCGTTTTTCGACGATAAAGACGAAGACGTCTACGTACTTGGATGGTTGACTGCCTGGCTGACAACTTCATATAGTATTCATTTATATAGTGTGTGATGGGCACGGTTGGCAAGGTGGGCAAGCGGCAGTGGCGTTTTTTCCACTTCATAAGTTTGGAGGAAGGCGGCCGGCCAATCAGAGCGTCCAAGCAACTCTTGCTTGCTGTTGTTGGCTGATGATCATGATGATCATGATGAAGATGGTGGTGGGTGCTCGCCGTGGGAGACGCACGAGACGAACGTCAACTGTCATCGTTTGTCAGTTTATAGAAAATGCTCAGCAGTGCCCCAGACATGCGCGAAGATGTATGGCCAGGCCAACTGGCAGTTGCCAGTTGGGCAACAGACGAACGCATGCGCCTCATGCATAATTCATTGCGTGGCTCCATCTGTGACTGCCGTATCTCCCCGCCACCTCCCTCGCTCCATCATCTTCATCTCTCTATTTGCGTCTGCGTCTGCGCATGCGCAGCCTGTTTCCAAGTGTCGGCACTAACAACACTTTTGGCGCACGCAACACGCTGTGCCGCCGCTGTTGCCGCCGCCTTGTATGTTGCTCAGGTGATTCATTCATCAATTTCTGTCAGACTCACACGCTTACTCATACACACGTTGGCACACATACACTTGGAGAAAAAAGCATATATAACGTATAGGAATAAGGACACCTGAAAGTTGTCTTTGTATGAGACAAAATTTCGAGTTTTCGTTTTAAAATTGTGATTTGGAATGGGGGGTGAAGTCTACAGTCGGACTGAGTTTTTAACAATTGGTCGGGGATGTGCTTTGAGTCAGTTTTGAAAATAGTGGATGTTTGAATGTTAATTCTAAAATAAAAATCGGAACAACCACAGTTGTGGTAGTTAAAAAACAAAATAATTAAATACACATACCAATTTGGAACAATTGTGCTTGAATAACTAATTTTGTAATTTATAAATTACTGTTGGCATTAGCATTAAAACAGATAGAGTTATTAAGAAAAATGTTTAAATATTAAATATTTTCAAAAAGGTATTTTCTACAAGAACTACAGATTCTATATATTTATTTATTTATGAATGGCGTCTTAATCTAATAGGTCCCTATTGAAATTAATTTGGGAATTGAAAAACTGGCCTGAATGTTGTTCTATAGGAATATTAATTATACGCTCATCTTTGGAATATTCTCACCAGTGAAGAATTTCCCTCGTCATTCTCTCTGCAATACCTTTCAATCTTTATACTATATACAAGTAGATTGGAATTCTCCAAACAGCAAACTCTTTTTGCTGAGAAGATTAACTGGATTACGATTTAGGATATAAAAGCTAATTATATCAAATTTCGAACCAAGTATAAGCTACATATAGTAACTACAAGCGATAATAACATTATATAGCATGTACATCTATACTTCGAACGTTTGTTAACGTTAAAATCACAGAATAATGTATTTCAAATCATAATCCCTATGTAAGAATGATATCGAAGTATGGTTGTATGTTTAGAAAACTACCGAAACCATGAGCCGTAATATGTCGGCCCCTTCGGCTCTCGATTTGCGACCCGTATTACCACATTTATCTCCAATTTGTATCGATAGATAAATTACATTTGATTCGAATTTAACTTTATAATGACTAGTACTATCTGCACAGTTGCCAAAAATTCGTCTTCTAGTTATACATATTTATTTATTCCTATTATTCCAATAAGGAGCAAAGGACCGATTCTAGTTCCATTCTAGTTTTTGCAGCAACGAGTCCGATCTGAGCGCAAGATTAAATAAGATCTACATATCCGAGATCGAACATGTGATAAGCTGTTTTTTTAAGTGTACACACACACTCACACATATGTGTGTTTATTTACTAACTAGTATAGTATATGTATGTATGTATATATTAATACAAGATTTAAAGACTCACCTTCTGATCGCCGAAACGCATTTGCCGTCGCGCATTGCGACTGACATTCATGCGACAGAGAAACATGCGATGCTCGCCTTCGAGACTTGTGATGCCGCTGCTGGTGTTGTTGTTGCCGTTGTTGTTGCTGTTGTTGCCAGCAGCGGCCCCATTACTGGATGCTGAATGCTCGCCACCTGGCTGAGGCGGCACATTACGATTGAGCTCAGCTTGGATGGTTGCGTGATCCTGTTTGTCAATGATATCGTAAACGGAGTCGCCATGTATGAGCAGGTCCTCCTGTGCGGTCAGAAGAAAGAGCAAGAGAAATGTGTGAGAGAAAGAGAAGGCGAGTGTTGTTTGTAACGTTTAGTTAATTGTGCACTAGCTTGATCATGTTTGGAGGGGTGGCTGGGGGGGGGGGGGGGGGAGATCCTGCAATTTGTTAATGGCCGTGTCATTGTGGCCTGCGCTTTCACACGCTCGTCGTCGTGCAGCCGTTTATGTCATACAATTTTATTATTGTTGACAATTATGGCCAGTCTGACTGACCAATTTATAATGCTGCCTAATGTTGATGCCGCTGTTGTTGCTGTTGTTGTAATTTATTTATGGCCGCCTGTCGCTACATGACACATGACAATGGCAAAAAGCAAGCCAGCGAGCAACTTGTTATGGGAATATGCAAAAATCGAATTCGAATTATGATGCCCAACAAAAACCGCAGCAACAACAGTAACAACAGCAACAACAGCAGCAACAACAACAACATGTCCATGTCGAATACATCGCCATACCCATTGCCTTCCATTCTCAATTGCAATTGCTACCGAGCTATTGACATTTTTGGCAGTTTGTTAATTAACTTTGCTTGTTATTGTTGTTGCCTGTTGCCGCTGCTGCCGCTGCTGTTTTGGCCAGGCTTTCTATGGCCGCACACATGTGCAACATTGTGTTGCCACTAACTAACTTTGAGTCGAGTGCTTGCCCGCCACAAATTAAAAGGCTGGGCAATCCATTTTGGTCGCTGCCCAGCATTTACTTGCAACTATATGTATGTATACGAATACATATGTGTATATGTGCTTGTGTATGAGCATGTTTCTGGGCACGTCGCCTGTCCGCAGTACATGGAGTTATTGTGCCGCAATTATGCCAACACATGGTGCACAATATTTATGAACTCCGCTGACCATTTAGTTGTGGGTGTCCTGATAAGGCCTGGCACAAAGGCCAACTGTCAAGTGTCATGGCTGCCCCAGTCGCTTGGCTGACATGGTTACAGCTTTGTGGCACACTCAGCTCGCCCAGGCTCGACTCGACTCCACTCCACTCGACCCGCCTCAATGTGTGTGTTCGTGTTCCATTTCGATATGACAGGCGAAGTGTAGCGGGTTTTATGTTCTGTCTCGAGCTCACAGGCTACTTACGATCTGGCTACCGGGTGACGTCGTTGCCGGGTTATGAATGATAGTTTGTGAAGTTAATCGTAAAACTGAATAATCGTATTGAAAACCTTTCTGTGCCAAATCAAAGCATGCTTTTATGAAAGTGGTCGTTTATTTAACAAAGCGCATTCTAAAGCATTGCCGGCGAAATGCTAATTTGAACTTTAACAAATGTTCAATAATTTCCATTTATATTTTGTTAGCTCAGAACAATTAATCAATATTGCTATTTCATGTTTATTACAAAATAACATTGTGTTACACAAATTACTGGAATGGATAGCAATATAACGATTGCATTGAAATTATGTATAGAATATTAAAAATAATTCAGAAAGTCGAAGAATTCTGAACATCAAACTGCTCCTTATGAGGTCGAGGCTTTTAAGAAACCATTTCTATTCCAAGTAACAAAAATATAATATACGCCATTTCTCAAACAAACTTTAATATTACACAATGCTTTTCAAATAATAACGTGACAACAGATGCTTCTAGACAAACAGATATCTCATATATCTTAGGTGTTCACAAATTGCTGAAACCTAGCTTTACACTTAACATTGTTCTAACGCTATTGAATGAGCATTATTTGTAAACAAATATTAGCTTTAGCTACTACAACGTATTTACTGGGATTCAGTTTAAAATTGTTTTCATTCTTTATAAATAAATACAAATAAAGACTTTATATATTTATACTATAGAAATAAAGCATGTAATCGAACAGTTTTGATCGCAACATACAATAATCTAATTTTTGATTTTAAGGCAAAGAATTTCGTATCTAAAAAATGAACTGTAACTGCAAAGATTAATAAATTTATGCAAGAGAACATGTCCGTCCATTTGTATGAAAGCAAGAATAACGGAAAATATTAAATGTAATTAAAATTAAGCGAGAAAAACTTATAAGAAGAGTCAAGATGTTGGCTTGACTTTAAGATTTCATTCTAGTTTTTGTTGCATATTTTTATTTACTTTAAAATAAAGAATATTATTAATGCATCTGATCTAAAATTCACCAAAACCCTGGTAATACCATCCAAATAATCCAATCTATGACTCTAAGGAACAATGCGGGTGTTCCTTGGCTTGTAACCAGCTTTTTACAAAATTTACCAAAACCTAAATGAATCGTTTTAGACATAAAATTATCCCAATATCTCGGTGAAAATTAAATAGATTTTCCGGCAATATATTCATTTAATAATAGCACGAACGTTAGACATCAGAACAGATATCATCTCCCACACAGTTGTGAATAATATTTGGGTGTGGTTGGACTCGCTGGAACACAATCATTCCTATCAAATGTCAAGTGATTGCAAATGGAAATATATATATTCTTAATTTTGGCGATGTTTTTGTCATTGGTTACAGTTATGGGCGTCCCTGCCGTGTCTCATCTTTTAAACTCGTACGTTCAACTTTAAATGCAGCTGCCCGGAACTTAACAGTCCAAATTGAACTTTCACCATTTTTCAAAAGTAGCTAATATATTTTTGAACGAATAATATAAAAAAAAATTTTCTATTAAAATATTACTAATATTAAAGTTTTGTTTGCCCTCGTAATAAAAAATGCATTATGGTAAGATTTAAGTAAATTTCTTAGCAAGTACGCTCTTGAAATCATTTTATAGTGTGACGGCATATATTTTATTACTTATATTATATATTTATGAATAATGCAAATGAAGGGTAAGAAGCAAGGAATTGATTAAGCTTGTGATTTCGTCATTTAAAAATTAGTTCGTAATAAATAGTCTGTAAATAACAGAGCTTGAATCATATTTAAAATTCACTCCTAGATGTGATTTATAGCGAGGTGGCTTAGTAACAATTTTCCATTCCCCAGAACGAGTTTGGTCCAGCCCGACCCTGTCTCATTTCTATAATTAGCAATATTATTAATCTCCTACTATATTCAGTTATTATTAGCGGAGTTTTAAGCTTTATTTATGCATCCCAATAAAGTGGTAATATTCTAAAAATAAAACATAGGTCAAAATTTCAAAATTTTATATTTTTTGTGCCAGAGATTTGTTTATTTTTAACGATTTAGTTGTGTTTTAATTTTTTGCTTTTTTATGCTCACGGATTAGCTATTTCTTTATCGGAAACAAAAGATATTTTCTAATCTAAAAGGAAGGATATTTTCTAATCTAAGAAGATTTTTAAACAAATTGAAAAGTGGAAGTGATTTACAAAATGTTTTATGTTTGATTTATAACTGAAAACATTTCCATTACCAAATCGGAAACTATGTAAATCTGTATTACCCAAAACTTTTCGTCTTTTCGCCAATATAAAAAGCATTATATTTAAGTTACTTAGTTCTTAATTGTTTTCAGTTTTATAAAGGGTATAAACGCCTCACTGTATTCTGGAGATTCAATAAAATTTGAGCACTGCTTTTTTTACATATTAGAAACTCATAAACTGTAAAAACACGCTTTATATACATTTAAGTTGATAATGGCTTATAACCTGTACTCTTTATTATTTATTAATTATAGATACACACCAATTTAAAATGCCATTTTTTTTGAATAAATGAAATAAAATGTAAAATTATTATATTATTACTGCCATTCGTTGAGAATCGACTGGTGAGTAATGATCGGTAAGAAACGATTGGTAAGAAAATAAGGCTTGAGCACATTTCTGGGATTAAAGATATTATTATTAAACTTGTTATTTATGGGGCTTAAGTATTGTGATTAGTGAGGTTTCATCGATATAGCTGCCCTAGGAACGAGTAAAAATGCTTATATACCTTAAGGGACTGTGATAGAGGGGACGAGTGAAGGATGTACACGAAGCTACCACATTCTACTCGTTGTGTTTGCAGTTATATTTATATTTTCTAAGTCAATCGAATGAGTACTTTATAATGCTGGATAGTAACGCCAATATTAATATTAAGAGGATTTAACCGTCTTAAAGCGTAGCTACATCTTGCGTAGCATGCGCCAATTCTCAACGAAAACGATCGATCGATCTGTGGGAGCATTGGCAATCAATTAACTGGATCCGGCTTCGACAACTCATTACATGATAAATCATAAATGCTTGCCACTTTCGTGTGTTTTCGACAGTTCTCAGCTATTTCATAAGCATGCTCATACGCCCCGTTGTCCCGTTAGTCGGTTAAGGCGCTGTTTGTTGAAGCAAATCAGAAACCGTTTTCAAAAGTTTGAATTGCACGAAACGTTATTGAAAGCGACGGCATGCTTACCAGTACCAGTACCAGTGCCAGCGCCAGTACCGGTACAGATACCGATGCCGGTGTACCTTTGTCAATGTCTAGAGTTTTGCATTTGGCTCAGATGAATAACTGACTGCATATGTAGAACGGCCGGAGATATGTCACATATGTATGCATAGATATTCATACTCGTACATGCCCGTACATATGTATTTCCAGCTCGAGCATATTTATTTAGCAGTACTTCAAATGTAAAGTGAAAGGCCACGCTAAGCTTGTAACCTTGCTATTTAAGCAACGTAAACGTGCGATAAACAAAACTAGAAACAGCCAACTGTTCCAGCATCAACAGCAATAGCAATAGCAACAGCAACAGTAACAGCAACCACAACAGCAACAATAACAGCAACAATTTGTGCAAAAGTTTTAAGGAACTTTTCGTTTTGTGTGTAGTAAGTATACTATATATGCTCGTAGTACAACGAAACAGATTTATATGTGGGGGTCTGTATGTAGGTATCTATACTCGTAAGCCACAGTCAGACAAGCTCAATGAATTGACTGCAAACATTGAAGCAGTTAGTTGCCTAACTTGTCAACCCAAAATGCTTGGCAACGGGAGCAGTCAGAGCAACAACAAAAACCACATCAACTGAAAAACAAAAAACTGCAACAGATATTTGTTGGTTCCTATGACATGCAGAGACAACAACAACAACAGCAGTAGGAGCAAAGACAACGACAACGATGACTACGACGACGACGACGACGACGACGACGACGACGACGACGACGTCGTACTCGACTGTTGTCGCTTGTCAGAGATTTGTATCAAACGGCTGGTAACAATTTTTCCGTCTGACGTTTAAGGCACCCGAAAAACTTTCCAGACGCTTTTCTAATTTTTGCGCAAATAGCTTGTAAGCGCCAACAACTATTTAACACGAATTTTGCGAGCAGAGCAAACATGCTTGTTGCCAGCAATTAAAAGCAAACTGACATTGTGAGACACTTACCATGGAGTGGCCCAAGTATTCGGCGGCATTATCCGATATATAGAGCAATTTGCCATTTTGTGTGAGCATCATCAGAAAGCCGGAGAGTGCCTGCAATACAAAAAGAAAGACAAGACTGTATGTTAGAGATGTCTAAATTAATAATGAACTAGTCATGGACAGCACTCCACAGACACTCAATAAGCAAGATGTTGTATTTTGTTATTATTATTATTATTTGTTATTATGATAATTAATTGTCCGAGTTCCCATTGAAAAGAAAATGTCTTCACAAAACAGGAGATTTCTTTTGATGTGGAATAATTTAGATATCTCTATTTCGTTTGGCAGTTTCTTATGTATGTAGGTGTATCCGAAATATTCAGGTATATCGGTCTAGCAGTGGTCTTAATTATAAACACTGTACACTGTTTATATTTGTGTCTATTAATTTTTCGCTGTCAATATTCTCATTATGATCGCCTGAGAATTTAATCGGAAATGAAAAATCGTAAATTTTTGTACCAGGGACTGTAATCATTATAAGTGTTATTAAATAAATTACGAAATAATGATTATTTTTTCATTTTATTAATTCGCTCACAGTTTAATGATTAATTTTGAGTTTTACTTTAAAAATTAACCAATAATCATTATTGATGAGCAAAAAAATAAAACATAAAATAATGATTATTCTTTGATAATTTATAAATCATGGTGAAAATACATAGATAATCCTTAAAAAGGATGTCAGTAAATTCCTCGCTTTTCAAAAGTTACTATAGTTAATGATTTTTTCGTTTAAAAAAAAAACAAAATAATCATTATTTGCGGTCCCTGATTTGTACACAAATCTGAATCCATCAGGCAAGACATGGAAGTTTTATTATCTGTCGAGCTGGGCATACCATCAGCGTTCTAAAGAGAAGACAACAGCCTCTTTAAGCTTTTCATACCCAACCACACATCCTTATGTAAATCTTACAAATTGCTATATTCTTTGTATAGTAGTATTTGGTTTCTTTTTTAATAGAAGACAGACATTCTGAAAAATGATTGGGGTACTCTGTTTCAAATAGTTATACATTTGAGGTACGATTGAAACGCAATAATTTAACCTATTTTCAAAGTTAGATTCTTGCTTCATGGGCTGAGTGTCCCTCGAATATAATGCGATTTATGTGTTGTAGGTCCAAAAACATCTCTGATTACGTTTGGTTAATACATCCTAATGTAAATCTTACAATTTGTTGTAATCTTTGTAGTGTTTGGTCGCTTTTTTAATAGAAGATAGACATTCTGAATAATGATTGAGGTATTTTGTTTCAAATAGTTTCCTATTGGAGGGACGATTGAAACGGGAAAATCCCTTTTCGGAAGTTAGATTCTAGCTTCATCGGCTGAGCGTCTCTGAATATAATGCAATTTATGTGTTGTAGGTCCAAAAACGCCTCTGATTGCCTTTGGTTGGGATGGAGAACACTTTTGGAAAATTTAGTGAACTCCGATCCCGAAGGGCTACTGACTGGCTTCGTTTATTCCTTAAACAGTTGCCCAGGAAATGGTGAATTCCGCACGGAGTGTACTTTGAAATGATCCTCAGGTTCAGTTGAGAACTACTTGCAAGCTGAACCAAGAAGACCAACTCGAATGGGACTTCATGCGCGAACATACTCGTATCGTACATACTCGCACAGATGCGAACTGTATCTTTTTGTGTGTTAAAAATGCAAATTCATTTTCGCGTCTGCGCACTAATAAATTGTTAGCTTCAAGACGTTTTTCTCTGCTGTTTTTGTTACTGTTGTTGCTGTTGTTGTTTTATTTTTTTCGGCTTAGTTGACAACTACCACGAGTATATTTAATTCAGTCACGAGTGTGCACAAGTATGTAGATCAATCTGCCGCGCTGCTTCTGTTTGACTGCCTGGCTGACTGTCGTCCGACTGTCTGACTAGTTGACTGCTCGAATGGCTGACTGCCGGAATGCTTGACTGGCTGACTGGCTGGCTGGCTGGCTGACTGACTGACTGACTGACTGCTCCTGTTGTTTGGCCAGGCATTTATTGTTATTTCAGTGTTGTTGTTGGTGGTGTTTTTGGCGCAGCAAGTGGCACTCTCGTTCAGTAGTTTCTTCGTTGCCTTTGCAATATCTGTCAACGATTTCTGGCTTATGATATGCGACAGTTTGTGCCATTAATAGAGTTGTTTCTTGGGAACTTTCAGTTAGTTGAGTTGTCAACATTTTGTGGCAGATAAATTGAGTGCTCGTTGTTGTTGTTATTGCTGTTCTTCTCCTTCTTTTTGTTGTTGTTGTTGTTGTTACTCACCTTTGAGAAGCCAATATTTGGTGTTGCTGTCTGATGGTGGAGCGCATTGTGGCGCTTGAAAACTGTCAGAAAAAGAAACGGAAAATAGAGTTAGAATTGAGTAATTGAATTAGTTGACCTTTTGCGTCATTAACAGCCGCGCCCCAGCTGCGAGATCCGCTTAAGTTTAGGGGTAGAATTAAATTGAAAAAAAGCAACAACAAGCAAATTGCAGTTTTCCCCAAGCCATTTAATTTTTATGCAAAAAGCTAAGCTAATTAAAAAAAAAATCTGTTAATAATAGACTCGCGTTGACGGCAATTGTTTGATGCAATGATTGCAATTCATTGATTATTCTACATACAATGAGTGTGATGCGCTGCTTGATCGCTGTTACTGTAGTTGTTTTTTTTTCTCTGCTGTTATTGCTTTACAAAAACAAGTGAATCACAAAAAGAAAATGTGTCATTGTCACTGAGACGGCAGCAAACAGCAACAGCAACAGCAACAGCATTGGCAGCAACTTTAGAGATTGCTGAGCACAATTGCCGGTTTGCAGCTGCACTGGGGCCAGCATCAAGATCAATTATTTTTAAAATACTACGAGATACTCCCGCACCTGGCAAAAGCAACAACAGCAATGGCAACCACAGTCACAATCAAAGCCTAAGCAGCTAAAACAGCAGCAACAGCAGCAGCACCAACAGTAACCGCAACTGGCAATTTCATTGAACTTGAACGGAAAGGCCATGAATATAGCCAGATTTTGTGTTTCAATATTTCCAATAGTATTTTCAGAATTTCGTTTCGAAAGGTTGTGGCAGGGCAATGAAGAGGTGTGTCCATGTTGTGGACACTTTAGAGAGACAGAGGGAGGGAGGGAGAGCGAAATAGTGTCTGGCTGTGGGAAAGGGCATATGAAATGGAAGTGCGAGGCCAAGAAGAATGGCTTAATAGAATATTTGCATGGGAAGTCAGCCAATATTGGAGAATTATGCAGATTCGATTTATAAAAAATATGTCTCCTCGTTGTAGTTTCCCATGACATCTACAATTTCTAGTCAGCTATTTACTAAAAAATACTCGCTTCCTTTAAAGCACATCAATTACTAAAACATTTTTCATTTCCCTACCAAATTGTTTTTATGTATCGTCTGTCCTTTTCTTTATTAGTCAGTATGTCCTTATGTTATGTACGACAATAACTTTATTCCTCTATTATAATGAGCCGCAAACTACACACCCTTTACACCCCTCAACCAATTATATTCCTTATTTTTCAACTGCTTTCAATATCTTGATAAAAAAAAAAAACTTTTTTATTCAACAACTCTTTATAAATCATGTCAGTTCTATTGATGGTTTGTGGGTTTATTTAAATATTTTTAAAGAAATTTGATATTTCGGAAGTAATATAAGGATGTCGTATATATTATGTAGCAGCAATGGAGTTTAATTAGTTGAAAGGTTCTGGAGCAGTCCCTGGTCAGATAATTGCTATTTCGTCAGCAAAGTGTAAATGCTTGCGTCAATCGTCCATTATTCATGAGTAATCAAATTGCTCTGTTGATTCAATTATAATAATGTGATTATTTGATCATAGTAAGGCTATTTTAATTCTTTTACACATCACTGAAAATCGAAATGGTAGTTGGTTTTTCGTAGCACCGATCAGGAAGAATGTTAATCTTCATATTATAGGTATATATATACATGATTAGCTCGACAGGATGAATCAAATAACGTCGTCCATCTTAATACTCTAATGATATCGATCACGCCAGATCACTGTATCATATAGTTATGTACCTATTACATTTATGCAAGTCATCACAAGAAAATTCAAAATCAAGAAATTAAATTAATTTTGTTGTCTTTGCTTACGAATTAGCTGTTGCCTAACTCAATTGCTTAATATTAATTGCCGCTTTAAAATGGTGACATTTAATGTGTAAAAGAATTGATTTTCCTTCACAATTTTTCATTTCTTTGGAACTAATCGAAGTAGTTCTATTGAATTTGGAATTTGGCGTCAGATAAACTCAACTGGAAGTCTGCCAGTATGTCGAAAGCTGAGTTGCACTAAAAACTGTTTAAATTATTTATATACAGCATTCCTGTGTAGCTTAAAAACAACATAACGCGTTTTTTTTTCTGCCATATTTTGAAATGGTAATAGGAATGATATGATCTATTAGTTTGCTTTTAAAGATATTGGCACCAAATTTAAGTTGATCGACGGAAAAAAAAGTAGTGACCAAATGTGCAAATGTAAAATGTAGTGAAATATTAGATATTATAGAAACGAAATAAAGGTGTTGTTGTAAGGTTGCAGGGCTTAAGTAGCCGGATCTGTATTACTCCATAATTCTATTCTGCAAATGGTGAAAATAAGTGAAAGCTTATGTTGTTCTACTTAAGTTATTTGTTAACATGATGCGACTAATTTTGTAGCTGATAGATATGAATTTGACGAAGAATAATATATTTTCTTTGCTAGTTTTAAAATACAAAGTACAGCCAGAACTGAATAATTGAATTCAAAAATTCATTTAAATTGAAACATTGCCGTCAATGATAATAAAGTGGCGCAAAAATAAAAGTGATTGATTAGGTGAATACAGTCTGCCTTGTGTCAGTAAATTCTCGAAAGTTTCATCTTTTAATGCTGGCCATATCTCTTATGTACAAGAAGCTCTGTTGAGTCACTCTTCAATATTAAGTTAATATTGATTAATTTAAATATATAAAATTTAGAACACTAATTTAAGGTTTAAAAAGCATTGACGGCTTTATTTGATGTATGTATCTACAATTCATACAAATCCAACTATTTTATCGTCTGACCATAGCTTTGGTGTTGTTGTCCTATAAGTCGTCCAAGAGGCACAACAATTGCAACCTAATGAACACACCCACAACACTTGGCTGTTGTGCTGCACCTTGAGCCTGAACTTGAAGATAAACAGCCTGCCCAAATGGCCTGCTCGGGTTCAGACAAATGCGATAGCAAACTATTATTAACACAATTTGTGATTATAAATGCTTCTAAGCAATGACACGTAAACACACTCACACACACAAACACACCCGAAAAGGCAACGTAGCAACTAAATATTCGAAGCCAATAGAGCAACAAACGCCGACAATTTCTCACACTTAGCGCAAAAATCGAAGCCGCCTCACTTCGTTTTGTGCACACCCCAAAATATAGTAAAAAAGTAAAATAAAAGCAAAGCAATGAAAATACAAAATAGAGAGAGGGAGAGAGAGAGAGAGAGAAAAAAAACAGTACTTAAGTTTAATTTTTTGCAATTTGTAGAACACATAAATCGCACATTTTGATTTATCGCAATATTTATAGCAATGCAAGGCGCATCGCAGGCAAAAACTTGTGCCCGTAGTTGTTGTTACCATTGCAATTGTGAAATTGCCTACTGCCTAGACCTGGGTCTGAACCTGGCCTGGGCCTGGGCCTAGGCACGGAGCTGATGCCGATGCTGAAGCTGCAGTTCCAGTTGCAGTCGAACTCGAAGTCGCAGAAGGAAGAATCGAAGCGCAGTTCACATGCCGCTGCATTATATGTGAAAGATGCGAGCAAAGTTAAGCGCTACATTGTATGCCTCTCTACCCATAGAGACTAGTGTGTGTGAGTGTGTTATCTATGGGTTTATATCCCGCACAACACTAATTTGAAAAACAATTTTCGTAATTATCCACAAAAAACAAAACAACACAACACAAAACAAAAAAAAAAAAAAAGAGTGCCCAGCTTTGACTTGATCTCGTTCGGTTGCAGAGCCTAGCGTTGACCTGCGCGCATGCGCATTAAAAGAGGAAGAAGAGCCAACTGGACGCTGTGCAATTTGTTCAGTTGTGGGCCATGTGCGTGCCTAGACGCTTAGGCAATTACATGCGGGGGTCGTTCTCGTCTCCTGTAGCTGTGCAAACAATTTCGTCTCTACTTGTAGACATATGAATGATGGCCATCCGCATAGCGGTATTTAGCTAAACGAAAGGCAGCGCCAAGGCTTAGCTTTTTGAGTAGTTTCTTATTTTCGGCTGTGGTTTGTCATGGCGGTGGGTCTGCGTCCAATTTTTGGGCTTTGGCGCACATATGCACGCCTGCATGACTCATGAATATTCAATCAACCACAACCAATTATCATCAGGCCGCCCCTCTCTCGACATATAGTATGCACATATATATGTAAAATGCATAAAATGCCCTCAATGGCATGTTTACATTGTAAATAACAGGGTGAGAGAAAACTCAGCAGAACAGTTGAACCAATAACTGATATGATATATGAGATGAAATGATATGAGGTGAGATGATATGAGATAAAATGAGATGTTATGATATATAAACACATGAGATGAGATGACATGAGATAAGTTGATTTAATATGAGATGATATTATATAATATTATAGGAGATGATAAGAGATGATTTGATGTGAGATAGGATGAGATGATATGATATATAATATGATATGATATAAAAGGATATGAGATGATAAGAGATGATATGGTATGAGATGATTTTGCAATAAGATGTGATGATTTGATATGAGAAATATAATATATATGGAATTAACCGCTTAGGCACTGTGCACTCTAAGTGCAACAATTTCTTCCCAAGAATATGAACATGCTGTTATTTCGTATCACCCTGTATTGTTTGAATTTATGGTATTTACGAGCAACTCACCTTGTTGAAAATAGTTGGCTTTGCGGACATAGACACAAACGAGCGCCATCAGTTGCAGCTGCGACAAACGCTGGCGCGTAGATTGCGGCAACGGCAGCAGATCGCGCAAATTGGCAATCTCCGCATTTATGAGATCTCTTCGCATTTTGGAAGCGCCCTTGGTGGACTTGTTGGCATCGAATCTGTAAGTGAACGAAGGAGCAGTGAAACAATTAGAATATAGCTCTAGCGCATTGCTAACTTTTCACACCAGAGCCATTGGCAGAGCTGGCCTCAGCCAGTGCTCAGGTCTACAGCTTAATAAGCCGCTTCCTTGGTTGGGCAGCTGGCCCAGAGGCAGAGTCTGAGGCAGAGGTTGTGAGGCATTCATCGAGCGCCATGTAAGGCGCATGTGTTTTCACAGTTTGAACATAGCGCCAATAACTGACTAAGTGTGTGTGTGTGTGTATCTTTAAGATACGTACTCGTACATACCAAAGCGCATGCGAAATGCATAAATAACTCATCGCGCATTTAAAAATCATACAACAAGCAGCCGAGTTGTGGATGCTGTTGCTGCTGCCTTGTGTTGTTGTCGTCGTCGTTGTTGTTGTTGTTGTTGTGGTCAGGCGGTTGGCCGCTTGATGTGGGGCACACTTGCCACATGCCTTGTGCGGAAAATTGTGCAAGTAGGTTGGCTGTTGGTTGTTGGCTTGGGTTGTTCGCTGGTCTGCTGGCTTTGGCCATCGGACTGACCGGCAAGCAACCAACAAGCGAATCGAACGAGCGAACGAACGTTTAGCGTTTGTCCGTCTGCCCGCCTGTCTGTCTGTGTGTGTACTTTTGTGAGCATATTATTTACAAGGTTGAATTCATAAATCATAAATTTGTCTTTTTATGCAGCGACGGCGGCAACGATGGCAACGGCGGTACACGCGGCGTATGCGCAATTCGTCGCTGCACTTTCGTGGCCATTGTTGAATTGGTGGGGGTTTTGGCAAGCGGTTTATAAATATTGGTAATATTGTTGTAATAACAGCAAGTGCCCGCGCCTTTTCGCTTTCCTGGCTTTATTACCAAAGCGACCAAAGGCGACGGCACATACTCATAGTCAGTCAGTTAGTCAGTCAGAGCGAGTCACTGCCATTTTGCCGCTGTTATTGCCTCTAAATGGCCATGTTAACATTTAAAACAATCACACACATGTATCTTTCAAATATGTATTTCTGTTTGTACGCCGTATGACTGCCGCATGTTGCATGCAACGGGCATGCAATGCACACGGACACGGACGGACAAATGGACCCCAGCAATTGGAGGCGCGAGGAAGTGGCGATGGAAGTGGCTCTGGTTGGCGGCTTTTCCACTCTTGGCCATAATAGAACATTGCGCTGAGACCGCGAAACACAATTTCTTGCTCTTTCTGTTCGTGTTGTTGTTATTGTTGTTGTAGCTGCTGCTATTTTAGTGAATTGAGTGGTTATGCAAGGGGCGCACAATTAAGTCAAGGTGATTTGTACAATTAAAATGAATATTGATTTAAATGCTGTGATAGCTGGAGCAAACATATGGCATATGGCGGACCAGAGCAGAGCATATGGCGTTCGCTTGTGATTGGTGGCTGTGGTGGGCTTTGCTCGGTGGGCGAGCTGAAGTGAAGGGCAACCTGTCGTCGAGCAGTTGAGTTCAGATTGTGCGTTTGTAGAGCAACTCCGCACTTGAGAGTTGTAATAAAATAATTGTTTTTCAATTCGGGCACTTAACACATTGCCTACGAGTAATTGAATATGAATTTATAAGTTCAAGGAGCTCCCTACTCATAAAATACCTTTTTATGGCTATGTTCGATTTCTTGCCGTTGATTTCTCAATATTCAATTCGATGTGCGTAACATGAAATTTCGATTTCACTGAACTCAACATTAACAATGACTCAGCTGGCAAAATAAGGTTGTTCCTGCAAAGTATTATTTATCTAAAGTTTACAAATGTTGATCAAAACAGAAACTTTGCTCGATTTTCTAAAAATGTTGGATGAGGTCTTCATTGCCGAATAAATATTTCTGAAGGGTCTATTTCGTACATCATACAAAATCAAAACCTTTGCCAACACATTGAGGAGTGTGTGAAATGATAACCTTGCCCGCAAATTAAGACTTTTGTGAAATGAAAAGTTGAATAATGTTTTTGCCGCGGTAATATGCTCATATGTTTACCTGATTCTGCTTCTTTAAAAACTTGCATTTACAAAAAATTAGCAAATTAAAATAGCTAACAACTGAAATATTTTGTTCTGAATTGTGTTGGTATTTGACTAAAATTTAAATAAGTTGAGGACCTATTTTTTACTAAAGAAATTAAGTACAGGTTTTTTCTAGTGTTCTTTGTACAATCACTCGATTAATGAAGTACCGAGTTAGTGCGAGATCAAGGAGCTCGCAGGGTTGTCAAAACTGCTGCATTCCATCCTATTCTACTACCATATTTCATAAGCAGAAGATTACTCTGGGAATGTATATATTAGCACCTACGTGTACATTTCTACATAATGTAAAGATTTGAAATATATTTTATATCCTTTTCCTTATGCCCTTTTTATCGACGATTTTAAGAGTATTTGAGATTAATTTTCATCGATAAAAGTTAGTTTTGAAATATTTTGATAAACTTGCTGTCATTGGGAACGCAAAATGCGAATGTTGTACATCATTTGTACATTTCATGCGGAATAAGGTCTGAATCTGCTTTGCTTCTATAATACTTATTGGATTCAATAGAAATGCATTTAAAAAAAATTTGAATCGTTTTTTACCAGTCAGTAAAAAGAATTCTTATTACATTTTTTAAATAATAGGTGCATACCAAACTAGACAATACTTTTGAAAAATGATGAATTATTTAAGTGCAGCTAATTCTATTTTTACACGATTTTGATGTAACACGGTTTTCAAATTATAAATGTTATATATTTTTTATATATTTTAGAGATAAGGAACCAATCACCTATTTTTGCATTTGATTAATGTTTTTTTTTTTTACACCGTTGTATGAATAGAATAGGTGTATATCTTTTATCAATTCCCTATCCACATCTTATGATAATCGTTTAAATAGAACCCGAGTTATCGCATACAAAGGAACCTTGTGTTTGTGCTATCGGCACAAAAATAATTAAAAGTTCCTCTTCAGAATTCAATATTCCATAGATGTCATTAGGGAACAGTCTTCCGAAATGCTTCTTGCATTGAGTCGGAAAATTATTGTTCGTATGTTGAATAAAATGAACTTAATTTTCCAAAATATTAAATATATGTCATTATGTGTAATTTTTATTTTTTAAGCGTAAGAACCATTTATTAACCATTGTTATACTAGGGATAAATGGCATTGCGCTTTTAACAATGCCCCTTCTAGCTCATCTGGTTGGTCATCGCTCTCTATTTTGAGTTCCAATAGATATGATCGGACAATTGTCGCACAATGTTCTTTAAATAAAAATATGGAAGCATAAAAGCAGTTGCATCTGATCACAATGCAACCGGAAACATTTTGCTTCGTCATTTTGTGAGCTTTTCACTTAGTGCATTGCTCTCTATTTTTTCGTTGCTGGTCAACATGAAGACTATAACAACCTTGTGCTATATTTGTTCACCAAACACTTTCACAATTTACTGTTGTCCAGATCAAGACTGGATGCTGATGTTGTATGCAGCTTTACAACTCTCTAGCTAACAAAAAAAAAACAAAAAAAAAACAAATCGGATTCTTTTAAAAGCTTGTCGTTCCAATTCCCATCCGATTGCTTTAGCTGGCGGCAGGAATGTTCATGTTTGCAACATTGCAACATTTCCCAATTAGCTGCTGAAAAATGCCAACGCGTTGCCTATTTGTGGCATAATTAATAAGTTTTTTAAATATTTATCATAAACAAGATGCGCGACCAGTGTCGATAATATGATAATGGCATGACCAACAAGCCAACCTGGTCAAACATAATGCACGCCAAAAACGTGTTAATGGCTCTACCGGCGCTATCAACTGTAAGAAGCGGCAGCAGCAGCAGAAGCAGCAGCAACAACAACAACAACATCAACAACAGCAACAGCAACAACACGAGACTAAGGCTGGGAGCAAGATATATCAGTTGGGGAACAGAAAACTCCCACAACTTTGCGAACAGACGCGCATCTCGCGCTTGTAATCTACATCAAAATTTATCTTCAGAGGCTAGCTGGCCAGGCGGTATGCCCGGAAAGCTCGGACTTGGCTGTGAGTGAGCGAGACATGTCAACATTTCTTAATATATCTATCGCTACCTTGAAATCTGCCTGCCTGCCTGCCTGCCTTCTTGCCAGCTAGCCGGGCTAAAACACACACTCATTCAGGCAGCATTAAGTAGCACTTGGTAGTACGTTCTTGTAGTTGTAGTTGTTGTTGCAACTACTGTAAAAGTTGTTGTTGCTAATTAAAAGCATAAACACGATTCTTAGCGAGGCGTCACAGCAGGCTGGCGAGCCTGTAGAGACTCTGGAGGCTGGAGAGGCTGCGGAGGCGGCGTAGGAGCTACCCTCATGTAATCTTAGTGAAGATCTTAATCAAGTAGCCTGCCCTAACTAAAGTTTGTTTTACGCTTCACTGACTGCTGTGTGTGTGTCTTTTTGAGCGTTGCATAGATCAGCAACAACAACTGCTAATACACTCGCTCTCGTTTGGAAGTCCTGTGTGCTTTACGGAAATTAGGCTTAAGTTTTGCTGCTGCCATCATTGGTTTCATCAGAAGTTTGACTCAGAGAGTGGTGGCCAGTTGATATGAAAATGTAAAGCTCTGAACGACTCTATTCATACCATTTAGTTAATGTTCTCAAATAATATATAAATTTAACCAAATGCGTTTTTATTTTTAGTTTCGATGGCCTTAGCCGAGCTCGAAGCACAATTGCAGAACCATGAACGACCTTGTAATAATTGAATAATACCTATAAACACTTTTTTATTGTCCTACCTTTTTATACCCTGTACCCGTAGGGTAAAAAGGGTATATTTGGTTTGTGCAAAGTACGTAACATGCAGAAGGAAGGATCTCCGACCCCATAAAGTATATATATTCTGAATCAGCATGACTAGAGAAATCGATCTAGACATGTCCGTCCGTCTGTCCGTCCGTCTGTCCGTCCGTCTGTCCGTCTAGATGAACGCAAGGATCT